GGAAGTCACAACGGTTCGTGAAAAATAGCTAGAACTTTATGCAGGCTGTGTGCATTTTACTGTGGACTGACTGTTTTGAAACTTATATGGTAGTTACATAGCACCTCGACCTCCGTTATCACGAAAAAAAAAAACAGGAAATTTCAGTTTTGACAATATGGGACCTTTAAAACGAGGGAACAAATTATTAAGTTGTAACCACTGTTTATTAAAACGAGGGAACAATTTCTTAATTTGGCACACAATTTTCTAAAACGAGGGAACGAATTGAGTTGTAACCATTGTTTATTAAAACAAGGAAACAAGTTCTTAAGTTGTAACCACTATTTACTAAAACGAGAGAACGAATTCTTAATTTATGCTCACAATTTACTAAAACGAGGGGACATTTTTCATTTGTAACCACTATTTACTAAAACAAGGGAATGAATTCATAATTTGTGGCCACAATTTACTAAAATGTGTGAAAAAAAAAATCCTTAATTTGTGGCCACAAATTACTAAAACGAGAAAAAATTCTCAAATTGTTGCCACAAATTAATAAAATGAGGGAATGAATCCTTAATTTGTTGCCATGATTTACTAAAACGAGAACAAATTCTTAATTCATGGCTACGACTTATTAATTTGTTCCCTTGTTTTAGTTAAGTCATGGAATGAATTCTCAATTTATGGTCATGATTTATACAGTGCACAGCATAAATGAGTATACCCCCTCTGATTAAATATAAAAGATGTATTTTCTTAATGATCACTGATATAATTCATAGAAAGATGGCAAAATTGAAATGTATTAAACATATTCTTAATAAAAACAGAGAAATACATGCCATTAATATCTGTAAAATAAAAAACTTAGCCAATTTTTGTTTAAATGAAGGATTGCAGAATTGAGTACAACCTAGATTTAATTCAACCAAGTGTAATATTCTAGAACTTAATATGTCCTCCATAACTCTAAGTACACTGCTCTGACACTTCTTGGCACTCAAAATAAGAAATATATCAAATATATACTACAAATTTTATTAAAAAATACCTTTATTTTTGTTATTGCTCTGCCAGTATTTTAAATATGGTGCTTTTTTGTTTTCAATAGTTAATTTCTTTTTTTAAATGTAGAAAACATATCATGCAAGACTGCTGGATGGATCCATACACAAATAGACCTTCATTTACAGACATTGTCAAGATCCTGGAGAGTGTGGTGGAGAGTGATGGGGTGAGTCATACTCGTCCTTGATCTACTTTTTAAGCTTTACCTTTGTCCTATAGATAAGTGATAAAACATTACTAATACGTTGCAGGATTATGTGGACGTTGACAACCAAAGGATCATGAATGCAGAGGAAAAGTGAATTTAAAAATATATATAACTAGTTGTTTTTAAATTTCTATGAGAATTCTGTAGCAATTGTTTTATCTTTGTTCTCATGTAACACCTAACTGTGTGCAGGCATACTTTTTGACCAATGTTTTTATTTAAGGATTTAATTTTACAAATGCTTAATTTGTTAGCAGGAAGACATTACACAACTCTAATGACCAACTGACAGTATTTTTGACATGTTTCCAAGGATTATTTTGAAAATAACATCATCTAAAAAAAGTCAGTGTTTGTTGTGATTAACATGCTTTTATTTACACCAAATAATTTAACAATAAAATAGTTTGATATCAGTTTTCATAATTATGTTATAAAAACAAGTATTATTTTTAGTATTGTTACAATAATAATATATGTAATAATAAAAATACATTTTATTAATCAACGTGTAATCATGTTTAGACAATTTAACAGTCATTGTTTGATTGAAGATGTTTTTCACTATTGTCACTGCAAATCCATAATTTAATGTGGGATAATGTTTGTGTAAGTGTCTTTCATTTATTTGTTTGTTTTATTTTTATTTTATTTTAATGACACTGTTGGCTAATGCCAATCCATTTAAATATAACTGCAGCATCTATTAAAAAAAAAAAAAATTAGTTGCTATGGTAATTTTAGTTAGGCTTGTGGTTACGCTCCATGAGCCAATGTGCAATCAGGAATCCGCCCACTTCAGGAATCAACCGAGCCGATGGACCAATGGAATGACAAAGATTAGATATGACCGAGTTCAAGGACCAATCAGAAACAGAGGAGTAACACGCTACTCTACACAGACCACTGACACCGTCTACTACTGCTGGAATTCTTCTGACGGAGGAGGAACTTACCAAAAACACTTACCAAAATGTTTCTTCGCGCTTTAGAAATTATATTTTTCTTTTACTTTTTGTCCCACATTCCAATTACTCTCATGATTGATCTTCAGCCTTTGCTTCCTGAACATCTGTATCCTTCCAAGGTAAGTTTGCACCTTGTGCTGCGCACTCACTAATGCAACCATATAATATCTAGGTTACATATAATGGTAAATCAATATGAGTACTTGCTTTACAGCTGAAAAACCTATTGCACTGGTATGCTGCTGAATTCAAGGATCCGATGATGATGGACCCGCCTGTGTGGTTCAAATCTTTTGTATTCTGCGAGGCTCTCTTTCAGCTGCCCTTTTTCCCAATTGCAGCATACGCCTTCATGACGGGTCAGTTGGGTTCGACTAAAACTCGATAAAATGTGTTAATGATTTGTAAAATCAGACGTTTTAAATGGCACAACAGTTACACCTAGTGGTCAATCTCTTGTGTCAGTGGATACCAGTTACTATGGTCATATTATTCCTGCTAATTGATGTATTTGTATATTTAATAGGTGGATGCAAATGGATCAGGACACCAGCAATCATTTATTCTGTTCATGTGGCCACCACTTTAATCCCTATTTTAAGTCACGTCCTTTTTAATAACTTTCCTCTGGCGCCACATCCGGGACCCCAAACTCTTCAAGAACGTCTGACCCTGGTGTCCATTTATGCTCCGTACCTTATCATCCCTGTCATGATACTGTTCACCATGCTCTTCAGCTCAACATATAACTCAACCTCTTCGAAAGGAAACGCTTCCTCAAAGTCCAAGAAACAAAGATAGATACAGTTCATCCTTTCTATGTATTCATTATACACTAGTCAATATTTGAAGTGGATCAAAACCTTTCATCAAAGTTGTCTTAAAACCTAAAAGCGTTCTTGTCTTAGGCCAACTTTGATTAACTTTTTTGATCCACTTCAAATGTTGACTACTGTAGTAATTGCTAGTAATTAAATGTGATTAAATATTTTAATATGTGCCAGGATATTTGATAATTGTAGCGTTTACTCCATTTCAAGTTTGAGCAATTTTTGATCTCATAGTAATTGTTTACTGATGACAACACATGTAAATGAAAAATATATTTTTATTTAAATGTTCTTCATATCTGTATGAAGTTTGTCGAATATTGAGATTACACACTTGATGATCTAAACAGTAAATGTAAACAAACAATAAATGAATTATGCTTTAAATAGTTTTCCATAACTTCCGGAAAATATTTTGGTTGTGGTCCCATGAGCATATGAGGAAATAAAACCGGATGAGTTCCAAGTCACAAACAGCAGTTCAAATACAAATCATACAGAAAATAAACATTTTACCTGATGTTGTCTCATGATGGAATTATTTACAGTAACATGCAAATACTGTATTTTCCTGCTGTAAAAAAGATCTGATTTACAAACGAATTAACATAAATAGTATAAATAACTTTTGTTGTATATAAATAGTATTCATCTGAGATTATGATCTGTGGTTGGAAAGATTACGAGTATGTGCCTCCTCGAACTGGCCATGCAAAAGCACTCAATGTTAACACAATAGAGTCAGAGGTTGAGGCTGAAACAGACATCTGTTGTCACCTATTAACTGGTCAATTCAGTTAACCTAGTTAGGGACCCTGCAGTTATTAGGAAGTCACTGTAAATCAAGATGCACAGCATCACTTTTCCTGTCCAACAGAAAGAGGAAACACCGTACTCTTATTTCTGCAGTATAAACTGATCGATGAATTCATTCTGCTCTGCTTCGACTTTTTGAAGAGCTTCATATTCTATTCGATACCTGCAAAACAAACAATAGTCAAGAATTAAAGAACTACTTAAAATCAAATTTGCAGTAAATTTACTCACACTCAGGCCATCTGAGATGTAGTTAAAGGTCCCATATTGTCAAAACTGAAATTTCCTGGCTTTTTTCATGATAACGGAGGTCGAGGTGCTATGTAACTACCATATAAGTTTCAAAACAGTCAGTCCACAGTAAAATGCACACAGCCTGCATAAAGTTCTAGCTATTTTTATATTCTTAAGGACATCAAAACCTAAAATAAAACTCCAGAAAGTTGTAAAATATGGGACCTTTAAAGGTGCTGTATGTAGGATTGACACCGAGTGGTTGAACTAGGTAATGCAGTCCAAATTCAAAATATTGGGTTTTTTTCACCAGGCCCCTCCTCCTCAGACTTGACCGCAGGTTGCCAGATTGAGACACCAACAGGAACGAGCACACTTGACGATGAATGAAATTAAATACGCTGTGTTTTCCGCCAACTGGCAACCCGTGGTGCCGAAATACAATTGGGTAAACTGGCAGTGGGTGGGTTTCACAAACCAAAACAGAGCTGGACATTCCGGCCCGGAACGCACATTTTCAAAGGAGAATAACTGACTGTAGCATTGTTTTTCAGATAAACAAGTATGTTAGCTGGGCCAGTGTGTGCTGTGATTGGTTAGCTGGGCCAGTGTGTGCTGTGATTGGCAGCACTCGGCGCCTGGTCGGGAAATGTCATGCCCCTTACCATAGCCGCCTGCGAGCTTCAGTGTAAATATTGAAATATCAAAATCTAATCTATTTGAACGCGATTTAAACCCGGATGACTTTAACCACTCTAAGTTCGTCTGCCTTGGGAAAGCTAGCGTGTCTCCGACATAGTGATAACACTCGTTGCCTTTCTGTTAAATAAAATATCTCCTTTTGAATTGGACTTTGAGCTTTGTAACTTTACAGATCTTTTTTATGCTCAAACAGCAACATTACAGCTTGCTCACCAATGGATGCTCTGCAGTGAATGGGTGCCGTCAGAATAATAGTCCAAACAGCTCATAAAAACGCTCAGATCAATTTGTCACATTGTCAACAAATGTTCATTTTTTGGATAAACTTTTCCTTTAAGAGCACAATATTTGCAGTCTGATTACAGGTCTAATAAGACCGGTTACCTTTCCAACTGCATTTTCTTTTCTGCAATCAGAGCCTGAAGCTGTTGCTGCTGAGCCTCCCGTTGCTTTTCAACTGATTTCAGCAAATTTCTTGCTCCTATAGCCTGAAGAATAATAATTGAAGTAATATGAATGAACATAACACACATATGCCCCACTATTCATTTAAAATGCAAGACCATACCTTCATTTTTTCATTTTCAGCTTCCTTTGCTAGCTCATCCACAAGTTCAATAAGGCCACCTACAATTTTCTGAAACTGACCAATCTCTGTTTTTGGGAAGAAAAAAAATATCCAAGAAATTATTGATCTGTACTGTGAATGAAGCAAATAATGCAGTTCAATCTGCATGAGGGGTAAACTTCACAATAAGATAAAGAACAAAATGAAATACTCACTGTCAACAAATTCCTCACACTCCTCTTTGAGCTCAGTGGTTTTCTGGCTCACATCAGGCTCCAGCACTCGCAGTTTATTGAGTTCATCAAAATGAAGACCAGCCTCTGCCAACGGGTCTTTAGCCATGACCAGAGGACCTAAACCTGCCTTTGAAATTCGATAATAGCTTTAAAAATATATAACAGAAATACATAAACATGTATTTTAAAAGAAAACACACGTGCATCGTTTCATTTCGTTCAAACTATCAGCCCCCGTAGTGGCGAAAAACAAATACAAAATTGATTTTCCTGCACACAGTGCCCGTATAGTCACCAGATCACAATAAAGCAGCTTACCGATTTGCTAGTTAGCTGGTTAATTAGAACTACATGTAACTACCACTCCGTTTCCGTTACATTACATTACATAAACCACGTACACTTTGTTTAAATAACGTTAAATAGATGAGGGGGGAAATGCTACAGCTCACACATATCGCTTTGTTGCTGGCAAGGTCTGGTTGCTATTGAGATAGATAAACAAAAACAGACCCGCTGGGAACTTCAGAAGCTTGGTAAACATTGTTGAAAATAAAATTACATTCCTCATAATTATCCCCTGAAATTATTACACCGAATGAGACATTTAAATAAAGTAAAACAGACCAGTGCCTGCTTCAAACCTACCTGACTTTTGTTTGATTATGTGGCACTTCTGCTGGACTGACTGACCGCCTCTAACTGTCTCGGCTGCCAGGTGACGGCCGGTCCACCTCATGATG